TAAAAAAATATATATTTTATTAGATTTTATATGGGTAGGGAAAAGATGGAGTCGGTGCGGGTACAGGAAAATCGGGATAAAGGGAACAGGGTGTGGATAACTACAGTAAATGTATAATTCAGCGAACAAGCTGTCATCCGGGTCTTCATATTGAGTACTGTTTATATAATACTAGACATTTATAAGAAGAAATTGGTATAATTACAACTGACATTTAGTAAAACACTAATATTAAGGTGACCAACTTTTTTACAACAAAAAGGAGGACATGAATAAATTGAAGAAAAAAATATCGTAAATAAAAGAAAAATTGTATTTATTGCAACAATAATACAGAATGCACTATAATATGATAAATGCATAATAAAAAACATTTATAACAATAACATTTTATATTGTAATTATGCTTACATGCCTATTAATTATTTAAATGAGTACTTTTCCATTGAATGAATATTTTTTGTCAATGTATCATCAACTAAGAATATATTGGAAATATCTGAACAAGAAATATCCTTCATATTGAATTTTACGGCAAATGCTGCAGCTAGAGTATCAACATTCAATCTCGATTTCTCACTTGTCCAAAAATCTACACGGCTGGACTGCGTGGGGGTGGGCGGCGGAGGCAGGTGTTGTGAGCCAGGTGCTCCAGGATGGCCACGTAGGTGCACAGGGTGAGGTGGTGGCAGCACAGGTCAGCACTGCATAGACCACCAGCTGGCGTGGCCCATGGAAGGTCAACTGCCCGGCTTGCCCCCACCCACAGCTACCCCGCCAGCACCACTGCCCTGCTGTGGAGAGCCGACCCCGCAACTTGCAAAGCACCAGCCGAGCCAGCTCCAGCCCTGCAGCCGTCCCCCAGCACCACCGCCCACCCTGTGCATCCCCATAGAGCTGGCCCCATGGCTCTCAAAGGCAAAGCACCAGCCGCACTGTCTCCGGCCCTGCAGCTGTCCCCCCAGCACCACTGCCCACCCTGCGCATCCCCATAGAGCCAGCCCCGTGGCTCGCAAAGCACCAGCTGTGCCAGCTCCAGCCCTGCAGCCGCCCCCCCCGCTGCCCCCTCAGCACCACCACCTACCCTGTGCATCCCTGTGTAGAACCAAACAGGGAAGATCAAGAGAAACTTACTGCTCCAGTCTCCTCCAGCTACCTGCGGAACTAAGTAAGAGATGGTGTAGTTGGGTAGCAGTGAGGGGTGCAAAGTTCCTGCAACTTGCATGTGCAAAATTTGCCACCTGGGTGTTTTGGCACGCTCAGCAGCAATTCCTATTGGCTTTCAAAAGCCAATAGGGGAAGTAGCACAGCTCAGGCAAAAGTTTGAAAAAACCATCAAAAAAAGGGCTCGGAATGCCTTCTGAGCACTCTATGAGGGAAAAAAAGCCCTGCAGAGAAGTCTTCAAATATAGAAAAAGAGGACATTTAGGAGGACATTTTCGAGGGAGGACAGAACTCACAAAAGGAGGACTGTCCTCCCAAAAGGAGGACGGTATATGGAAAAGGAGGACATTTAGGAGGACACTTTTTGAGCGAGGACAGAACTCAAAAAAGGAGGACTGTCCTCCCAAAAGGAGGTCGGTTGGTCACCTTACTAATATTGCTTTAAATAATTCACATAGCTGATAGCATAACAACTATTTCCAATCATCAACCTTAATACTTAATATAATAAAGCTCTAAAACCTCTTCTTATTCTAACATGTTTCAACCCACTGATAAAATTTTCCCCAGGTTTTATAAAAGATTGAATCTTCTTTCTCCTTCATCTCTAACGTTAATCTGTCCATTTCTGCAGGATTTTCAAAATTATAATCTGGTGTGATGGTAGGTTTTCATTTTTCCAAAATTGGGCAAATGCTATTCTTGCAGCTCTTAATACATGTAATTTTAAATAATCATTTGCTTTGCCATAGTTAGGTCTTAATCTACCTAACAGGAACAGTTCCAGTTTGAATTCTATCTGTATTTTCATCATCTTTTCTAACCATCTATGAATCTTAGACCAATATTTTTTTGCAATAGAACATGTCCACCAGGCATGATAATAAGTACCTGGTTTTTGTTTACATTTCCAACATGTATCCGATAAATTTTTAAACATTTTCGCTAAGTGAACTGGTGTCATATGCCATCTATAAAACATTTTATATAAGTTTTCTTTGTATGTTACTGTTTTAGTAAGTTTGATATTTTTATTCCACAGTTTTTGCCAGTCTTCTAATTCTATAGAATATCCAAAATTCTTCCCCCATACTACCATTGCCTCTTTTACTTGTTCTTCTTCCATCTTCCAATTTAATAAGTATTTATAAAGCTTCTTAATCCAATGTTCATCTGTTTTTAAAAGTATTTTATCAAGTGGAGTCAGCTTTTGTAAAATCCCATTATTTTTATGTCTTTTTCATATCTTGTTTGAATTTGCAAATAGGACCACCATGGTAAGTAAATACCTTGTTGTTGAAGGGCTTGCCTGTCTTTGAGTGTTCCGTCCTTGTCCAAAATGTCTTTATAACTAACAAGTTTATCATAATTAATCAAATTTGAATAAGCAAATGCTTCCATTGTTGAAAGCCACTCAGGACCTTTCATATACATTTTGTGTCTAACTTTCTCCCATTCAGAGAGTAAAACATTTCTTATAGCATGGTTTTGAAAGTACTTATGTATTTTAGCTTTCTCATACCATAGGCATGCCAACCTATTTGAAGGTCATATCCCTCTAAATAGAGAATTCACTTATTTCTCAAAGTAATCCATTCTTTAAGCCAAAGCAAAATAGCTGCTTGATAATAAAGTCTCCAATCCGGAAGTCCAAAACCCCCTCTATCTTTCGAGTCTTGTAGAAGTTTACATTTAATTCTTTCTTTCTTTTTTTGCCATATAAATCTTAATATTATTGCGTTTAAATCATCAAAAAAATTCTTACCCAGTTTTACAGGAACTGTTTGAAATAAAAAAAAAATAGCTTTGGCAAAATGTTCATTTTAACAGTCGCTATTCTTCCTAACAAAGATAGTTGGAGATTTTCCTATTTTTCCAGGTCGATTTTATTTGTTTTAATAGTCTCTCACAGTTATCTTCTTTTAGTAATGAATATTTCGCCGTAAGATAGATTCCTAAATATTTAACTTTTTTAACTATTTAGTTAAGACTTGTCTTTTTGGTGAGTTGAGTTTTCTGTTTATCAGTTAAATTTTTTGTTAACACTTTAGTTTTTTTTTCCCTATTTATTTTCAATCCAGCCAAATCTCCAAATTTCTCAATTTTCTGCAAAAATTTAGGGGCTGTTTCCAAAGGCTCCTCTAAGATAAAGACCACATCGTCCACAAAAGCTTGTAATTTATATTTCTGGTCTTTAATCTCAAGACCTTTAATTTCTATGTCTTGCCTGATGTTTCTAGTCAATACCTCCAGAGTAAAAATAAATAACAGGGGTGAGAGTGGACATCCCTGTCTTGTACCCTTTTTAATATCAAAGCTCTCTGTATAATCTCCATTTATAAGTATCCTTGCTGATTGTTTCTTGTAGATCACTTGAATTGCTTTAATAAAGTTTTCGCCAAAGTCCATTTCCTGTAGTTGTTGAGACATAAATTGCCAATTTAAATTATCAAATGCTTTTTGTGCGTCAAGAAATATGAGCGCCATCTGGTTCCCTGGATGATTTTCATAATATTCCAAAATATTTAAAATAATACTTAACTTGTTCTTTATCTGTCTTTTAGGAAGAAAGCCATTTTGGTCTGTATGCAAGCCATCTACCAGGTTTATTAGCATTTTTGGAGCAGCTAACCTGGTGACCCATGGTTCCTTCAGCTTCTTTGCAGAGGCGGCACTTGCTCTCTGTTGCTGACTTCTCAATTCTGGATTTGCAGACATTTCTTTTTATGGCTTGATCTTGTGCAGCCAGAATTGGTGCCTCTGGCTAATATTGAGGATGATGTTATCCCTTCACTTGTGTCCGAGTCTTGGCGATTCGATGGACTGGGTCTCTCCACATCTTCTTTGGGTTTTTCTATGCTCTGGCTGGTGTCAGCTTTGATGGTGTCCATTGCAACGGGTCTGTGCTGTCTTCAAACATTGAACCACTGTTCCTTCAGCTTCCATGGCAAAGATAGCACTTGCTGTCTGTCGTTGTCTTCTCAATTCTGGCTTTGCGAGCATTTGTTCCTAAGGCTTGATTTCATGCAGCCAGAATTAGTCCTTCTATCACTTTCCTCAAATTTCCTGCTCTTAGCCATTGCCTGGCCTTGTTATTATCTGCTTTGCCTACTATTTTATTTTTAAATGTACTGACCATTTAGTGCTTTTATTGCCCTGCCTCTTTTCTGTTCTTCATTTATTATTGTGGGCCAGTTTGGTCTCTCCACTACTCAGTAAGTCTTCCTGGTATGTTATTACTACGTTTTGTCACAGAGAGCCAAAATCCATTAATCGAGTCCTTTCCAACGACCTGGGATAGCAGACGTTGATGTTTGATGGTGCTAAAAATATTATTGTAGGATATAAGCTGTTCTGAGTCAAGCTGCCTTTTGCAATTGAGAGATTGCAAATTTGTCAGTGCCAATGTCATTGAAGTGGTGTTCCAGTTATTTTGGAATTGCACTATAGCACCTATACTATTATCATTAGCAGAAGTCAAAAGGCTGGCCAAGCCTGTACACAAAACTGTTTAGATATGAAGATATGACAATTATTGATGAATTATTTAATCCAATCTTCTTTTTTTTCCAAACAGAAATTTCCACTCTAAAGAAAGAGATTACTGAAGCATTAAAAAAGCATCTCTTGATGAATTTCAGCCTGGCAAACCTGAATGCTACAGCAGATTATTTGGACAATAATACTATCGGAATTTTCTATGAAGACCAAACTATATCCATCTATTTTGAAAACATCATGGTGTTTATCGCATTAATCATCTGCTGTATTGGAGCCCCATTATTTTAATACATTTTATACAAAAGCATCTCTTGATGAATTTCAGCCTGGCAAACATGAATGCTACAGCAGATTATTTGGACTATAATTATAGCAGAATTTCCCATGAAGACGAAACTATCATTTTCTCTGTTGTATTGATCATCTGCTGTATTGGAGCCCCATTAAATGGAATTGTTATCTGGCTGCTTGGCTTCCAAATTAAGAGAAACCCTTTCACAGTATTGATTCTTAATTTAGCTATTGCCGACTTTGGGTCTCTCATCTTTATGACTATATCTTGTATTAACATCTTTATAGGTTTTATACAGTCAGAAATTCTCCAGCAAATCTTCACGTCTCTCTTCAATGTTACATATATCAACGGTCTGTTTCTTCTGACAGCCATCAGTATAGACCGATGCGTGTCTGTCCTTTTCCCAATCTGGCATCGCTGTTCCCGGCCAAAATATTTGTCCCCTGCTGTCTGTGCCATCCTCTGGAGCTTCTCTTTATTCCTGAATGGAATTAGCCTCAATCTTGATAGTTTACGTTTTTCTTATACCCTCCATGATCTCCACTTGATTGTGACTGCTGTGCTTTGCCTTCCGTTGATCATAACCTCTATTGTGATCCTGTTCATCAAAATATGTCTTAAATCAAAACAGCTCAAACGTGGAAGAATCCTAGTGATGGTCTTAATTAATCTTCTCTGTTTTCTTATTTTTACACTCCCATTATATATCTATGTGTTCATTACTCATTTTATTCAGAAGTGGGATTTGATTGATAGTAATGAATTAAAGTTCTACTACCGTCTGTGTGCTTCTCTAAATTGCAGCATTAACCCAGTGATCTATTTTCTGGTTGGGAGAAAGAAAAAAGCTCGCTCGAGGGAGAGCATCAAGGTCATTTTTCAAAGAGTTTTCAGGGAAGACGAAGCTCCTGAAATCTGATAAAAGTTTATAAGCACAATTTCAAACCCTCTGTAAAAGTAAAACTTTCCTCTCCAGGGGAAGTGGCCTCTGTTCCAGCTTTAAACCATAATTAACAAGTTAAGATTCATATATGGCTGGAAAAGATGACTAAAATACATATAGAATTTAAGACAAAATTGTTTCTGCTATGAATATTAGGATCTAGTTATGGAAAAGAGAAAGAGTATTTAATATTACATATATTGAGAACTGCGAGAATAGTATTTGCCCAATACTGGAAAAATGAAGATATACCACCCGATGAGATTATAATTAGGAAAATCTTAGAATCTGCAGAAATGAATAGATTAACCTTAAAGATTCAAGAGAAAGAAGACTCGGTCTATTATAAAACATGGGAAAATTTTTATCAATGGCTAGCAAAGTGAGATAACAAAACTGAAATTTATTAAGATGATTGATTTTTTTTTCTTTTGACGAATTGATATTTTTTATAATTTCTGTTATTCTTGTTGACTACAGTTACTGATTATTCTATTAGCCTGCTTGAATACCTATATCCGGAAGATAGTTTGCTTGCTAAAGCGTGAAATGTTATTGGGGGTAACCCCATTGTTGTATCCATCCCTACCCCAAACTCTTCCCTGAACCCTATCCCGATTCCCACCACCCATAATGATCCTTGTCTTTCCCTACCCTGAAAAAACTTAATAAAATATTATAAAGAAAACTAGTATGAAGTTGTACATAATAGTCACAGAATGGAGAAAGAACAAATGACACCAGGTGATCTTTCCTCTGCACCAACTTCTATGTCAGAAACAATTCGGAAGAAGGGGATAAGTGACCTAACACCACACAGCTTAGGAATTGCTAAACCTTGATTGCTCCAGAGGCTTTGCACCTTCTGATGATTCCATCAGTGTTGATATACCAGACCATGGGAAGGCAGTGGAAAGATTCTTACAACAGGATTTGAACTCAAGCCCTTTGCTACGTGTTCTGAAGGAGCATGGCCAGAAAGGTATCTCCAGGGAGAGAGGTTAATTCACCATCCCCATCCTTATATTTCTAATGACCAAAGAGGGGAAATAAACCTTAAAGGGAAAATAGTATCAAAATAAAAGAACAGACTGCACAGTTGAATAATTATGATCAGCTGGATCCCTTCCTCAGTGGTCAAAGTCCCATTTATCAGCTGAGAAATCCAACTGTCATTGAAGTTTTCCTCTTGGGTCTCCTCCATCCGTTGGCTAATGGTCTATTTAATTATAGCTTCTGAAAAGAAATATGGTCTGGAGAACAATTTTCCCCATTCCTCTGTTATATAAACAAAGGCATAGAATCAAGATCACGTGAAGTATTATTACCGCTTTACAAAGCCTTAGTAAGACCACACCTGGAATATTGTAGCCAATTTTGGTCACCATATCACAAACAAGATGTTGAGAGTTTGGAAAAAAAATCAGAGAAGAGCAACTAAGATGGTCAAGAAGAACGACTACGGGACTTGGTTTTGGCTGGTCTAAAGAAAAAAAGAAATAGGGGAGACAGGATAGCATAGTTCCAGTATCTAAGGGGCTGCCCAAGACAGAGGGGGTCAGGTTGTTCACCAGAGCAGCAGAGGGAAGGATGAGAAACAATGGTTGGAAACTGATCAAAGAGAGAAGCAACCTGGAATTAAGGAGAAACTTCCTGACAGTGAGGACAATCACCCAGTGGAACAGAAGTTGTCTTCAGAAACCATGGGCACTGCATCACTCGAGATTTTTAAGAGACTGGCCAGTCACTTGTCTGAGATGGCATAGGATCTCCCGCTCAAGTAGGGGGCTGGACTAGAAGATCTCCAAGGTCACTTCCACCTCTATTTTATTCTATTCTTAAAATGTTTTTGTAGTCCTTGAGCTGTCAAGGAAATTTTTTTATTACTTATTCGGGCTCAGTCAAATGGGCTGAATGAGAAATCTATTTGATAATAAAATTTTTCCCTGGCTGTGTGTATATACAGTTAGTCCTTGACTTATAACCATTTGTTTAGCAATCATTCAAAGTTCTATTCTATTCTATTCTATTCTATTCTATTCTGTTCTGTTCTGTTCTGTTCTGTTCTGTTCTATTCTATTCTAATTTCTTTATAAGAAGACATGGCATTCCCAGAGCACGCCTTCAAAATGAACTATTCCCGATTTGACCTTCCATTTTCTTGTCCTAGCATTAAGTGACTCCATATATACTGTATTAAGTGGCTAATCTTTATCTATACATTTGTGCAAAGCATGTTCTGATTCAACCTTGATTCAACAGTGTTTCATTCAGATTCATGGGTGCTGTTGGTAGACGATGCTGCAGCCATTTGGTAACAGTGTTTGGTTTCCTGTTAGTTGAGCCGTTGCAGGAAGAGATTCAATGTATTGGAATTTTTTCTTTTGATAGATTGGAAGAAATCCATATAATCCAATCAGATAGTAATATGTGGGAGAGAAAAAATATAAACCTACAAGAGAAGCAACCTAGAACTAAGGAGAATTTTCCTGACAGTTAGATCAATTAATCAGTGGAACACCCTGCTTCCAGAAGTTGTGAATGCTCCAACACTAGAAGTTTTTAAGAAGAAACTGGATGGTCATTTGTCTGAAATGGTATAGGGTTTCCTGCCTGAGCAAGAGGTTGAACTAGATGACCTCCAAGGTCCCTTCCAACTCTATCATTATCATTATCATTATTGATCACTGCACAGTCAGCCAGATGTTCAGATTGGATTTGGCATTTTTGTCTACCTATCTAATCCTTCCCAAGGACATGGGATAGGCAGATGTGGATGTCTGATGGTATTATATATATCGTCGCAAGATGGAAGCAGTTCCTAGTTCCAAGGCTGCCTTTTGCAATTGACTAATGGCAATTTGTCAAAGCCAATGGTGTTCAAGTGGTGCTCCAGTTGGTTTGGGATTGCACCCAAGGCGCCTATTACTATTGGTACTACCCTTGCTTGCCTTTGCCAAACTCTTTCTATTTCTGTTTGTAGGTCTTTGTATTTTGTTATCTTTTCCAGTTCTTTCTCTTCTATTCTGCTGTCTCCAGGCACTGCCACATCCACTATCCAGACATTTTTGTCTTTCTTATTGACAATTGTTAAGTCCGGGATGTTGTTGTTGTTGTTGTTGTTGTTATTATTATTATTATTATTATTATTATTATTATTATTAGTAGTAGTAGTAGTAGTAGTAGTAGTAGTAGTAGTAGTATCATCATCATCATTATTATCATCATCATCATCATCATCATCATCCAACAGTTTAAAGCAGTGGTTCTCAACCTGTGTGTCGGGACCCCATTTGGGGTCGAACGACCATTTCACAGGGGTCGCCAAATAACGCAGTCAGCCATTTTTTCCCCTTTTCCTTAGCTGTGCTACTCCCTTTTATTCTATTGGCTTTTGAAAGCCCTCTTGAATAGAGTCTAATTCTACTGGCTTTCAAAAGCCAATAGGAATTGTCCAGGCTGTCTCTGCACTGCTGAGCCCGCCAAAAGTCCCATTCTGCAAATGGTGCTGCACCAGTTGAGTAGTCCTCGACTTACAACCGGTTTAGTAGTCCTCAACTTATGAACGGTTGGGGGTCACGGCATTAAAAAGGTTGAGAACCACTGGTTTAAAGCATCATTGCACAGAATATCAGGAAGAATTTTTAGCTTGTTGTGCCCGAGAGAAACTATATTCATCACTCAAAATGTTATTCTGCAGGAATTTAAGAACTGTTGAACAATTAAAAAACAGACATTGCAGAGGTTATATTATCAGGCTTTGTAGATAATTGGACCTGTTACATGGATGGGATTTATCTTGATTATCTGATTAATCATGATTTTCTTAAGAAGTCAATAACCACACCTTGGTGTCACGTAGTGCTACATCCTGATTAGGCAAAGCACAACTCTGTGTGTTTTTAGACTTTCTTTTCCATGCCAGAAGAGAAAATGTGCCACATTTTGATTGATTCTCACCTGCTATGCTAGCACTGAACCCTGTTTCTTTTATAAAAACACCTCTGAAGTTTTCTGTTCGGTCTCTCCTTCCACATGTATCAAATTCTACAGGCAATTCTTTGAACATTGTCACTCGTGATGGGTGAGCGTCCTTCTTGACAGTGAACAGTTTGAACTTCATCTAAATAAGTATCATATTTTCTCGGCAGATTTGGTATAGCCAATCACTTCAGCCAGTGGTGGGATTCAGCCGGTTCGCACCGGTTCACTAGAACCGGTAGCTAATTTTTTGTTGACTTTGGCGCACTGGCTGATGTCTTACCCCCTTTTCACAAGGCTCAGATGGACTGCCGGAAGTGCATGGATGCCACTTCCGGAAATCCGTTCTGAGCTGGGGAGGTCTCCCAGGCCCAGAACAACCCACCAGAATGGCCCTCTGGAAGTGCATCCATGCCACTTCTGGTGGACTGGGAGTGGACTTTCCTTCTGGTCAATGAACTGTCTGAACTTCATCTAAATAAAACTATATTACATTTTTTCTACAGGTCTGCCATTGCCAATCAATTCAACCTTCATTATCAGGACAATAATCTTCCCCTCTCCAACTTTGAAGAGCTTGTTCCATTACTTTCCAATGTGTCACAATTTTGAACACTTCATGCAAATATAATAAATAACATTTTTTTTAGTAGCTATATATTTCTCTATTTGATATTTCATATGAAAATATTCCATATTTATATCCTGATAATGCCATAAGTCTCAATTGATTTTTTTTCTGGTTTTAGACCTTTTTTCAACCTTTAGGAGGAAGATCAGAGATTTAGGAGCAGAGGTCCCTGATAAATCTTCTCAGATGAGAAGACCAATCCAATTGAAATAAACAAGATTTTTCCTTTTTGTAAGAGCTGCCTACATTTTGAGCGGTCCCCTCCTTCTATGGCTGGTGAATATCCTGCAAAAACAGGAACCAAATCTTCTTATCACTAGATGTTCACACTGATTAGACAAGACACAGAATATATCTAGTTGTG